TTTTGGAGAAGGGGCCTCTCTCTGTCACCTAGGCTGGAGTGCAGTGGTACAACCACAGCCAACTACAACCTTGACCTCCTGGGCTCAAGTGACCCTCCCACTTCAGCCTCCTGAGTGATTGGGGACTACAAACACATGCCACCATACTTTGCTAAATATTTTACAATTTTTTTGTAGAGACGGGGTCTCATTATGTTGCCTAGACTCATCTCAAACTTGAGTTAAGTGATCCTCCTGCCTCTGCCTCCCAAAGTGTTGAGATTATAGGTGTGAACCACTGTATCCACCCTCACATTTATTATGGCCATCCTAGTGGATATGAAGTGGTATCGTTGTGGTTTTGATTTGCATTTCCCTGATGGCTAACGATTTTCAGACTCTTTTTACGTGCTTATTGTCCATTTATAAATCTTCCTTGAAGAAATATCTATTGCTCATGTTTAAATTTAGTTGCCTCTTTATTTTCAAGTTATAAGAATTCTATCTTATGAGAGTATTCTTATTTATGATTTGCAAATATTTTATTCCATTTTATGAATTACCTTTCCGCTTTCTTGATTGTGCCTTTTGAGGTAAAAACTTTTGAATCTTGATGAAGTCCAGTTGACCTGTTTTTTCTTTGTTGCTTATGCTTTTGGTATCATCTAAAAAACTATTGCCTAATCCAAGGTCACAAAGATTTACTTGCATGTCTTCTTCTAAGAGTTTTATAGTTTTAGCTCTTACATCTAGGTCTTTGATTTAATTTTATATGGTGTGAGGTAGGGGTCAAACTATAATATTTTTAAATACTTATTTTTTTAAGTTTTTTATTTTAAAATAACTTTAAAATACAGAAAAGTTTAAAAAATAGTTCATAGCGTCCTCTTTTAGCAGCTTCACTAGCTTTCTCTGTTAGCAGCTTATGTAATCATAGTACATTTGTCAAAGTCAGGACATTAACATCGATATGTTACTGTTAACTAAGCTGCAGACATCATTTGAATTTCACCAGTTTTTTTCCACTAATGTCCTTTTTCTGTTCCAGAATCGAATCCAGGATTCCTCTTTGCATTTAATTGACCTTTTTTTTTACCTCAAATATATTTCAGTTCCTTGGTCTTTGTCTTTCATGCCCTTCACACTTTTGAAGAGTACATTTTGTAGAATGTCCCTTGAATTGGATTTGTCTGATGTTCTTTCATTGTGAGGCTATGCATTTTGGCAAGAATACCACAGAAATGATGCTCTGGTATTCTCGATGCTTCCCAATGGAACTCATGAGGGGGTTTGTGATGCCATATGTCTTATCACTGGTTACAGTACCTTGATGACCATTAGATTAAGGTGGTGTCTGCCAGGTTTCTCCAATGTAAATTAACTTTTTAAAATAATTAATAAGTATCTTGTGGGCAGATACTCTGAGACTATGCAAATATCTAGTTCCCAACAAACTTTCACACAATGTTTTTAGCATTTTTCAGTAATTCTTTTTTTTTTCTTTTTTTCGAGACAGGGTCTCACTCTGTTGCCTAGGCTGGAGTACAGTGGCATAATCATGGCTCACTTCAGCCTTGACCCTCTGGGCTCAAGTGATCCTCCCACTTCAGCCCCCTGAGTAGTTGGGACTACAGGCTTGTGCCACCATGCCTGGCTAATTTTTGTATTTTTTGTAGAGATGAGGTTTACCCATGTTGACAGGCTAGTCTCAAACTCCTGGGCTTAAATGATCCTTCTGCTTTGGCCCTGCAACATGCTGGGATTACTGGCAGAAGCTACCATGCCTGGCCTTTTCTGAGGATTCTTGCCTAAATCTATTACGATTATAATAATTGCAAAATGGTTACTCTCTCTCATTCCTTCTGCATGTATTAGGTGGCATTCTTCTGTAGAGAAAGGTTTTTTCTTCCTGCCCCTTGTTTAATTATTTAGTATCAGTTTGGCTCATTGCAGTCCATCATCTTGCCTAGAGGTTACCACTCCTAGATTTTCCCAATAGGAAACTGAGGCCCAGAGAAGAGGGCAAGGTCATGTAAGTGCCAGTGACTGTGACAAGACCAGAATCAGGGCTCTTGACTCCTGGTCTACTGCTCCTTGTGCTGCACAACATGGCCTGGTACAAACATCAGGGTGGAGAAAAGGCAGGACTGGGCATCTAGATGAGGCCCGAGCCAGCCAGCTGGGAATCTGTGGCTCTATGGTGTCTAGGGTTTATGGAGCACACAGCCATTTCTTTTTTTTTTTTTTTTTTTTTTCCAAGATGGTGTCTCACTCTGTTGCCCAGGCTGGAGTGCAGTGGCGCAATTCAGGCTCACTGCAACTTTTACTTCCTGGCTTTAATCATCCAAGCTGCTACTATCACCGGAATATGCTACCATGCCCAGCTCATTTTTGTATTTTTTAGTAGAGACAGGGTTTCACCATGTTGGCCAGGCTGGTCTTGAACTCCTGGCCTCAG